GCCTGGGTGCTTAGCGTAACGTAGCATTCGGGGGATCAAGCTAATTACATCTGGCAATCTGATTGGACGAATAGGATTAGTGTCAACGGTTAACCCTGTAGCGTAGAAACTTAATGATTGACTTTCCCCAACGTAGTACTGGTCGTCGTTATGGTACTTTTGTCGCGCCCCTGATCAATCTTGGCGCAGCAGAGCCCATGCTCTGGAGTATATCTGCAAAAGCCACACGATTATATCGTTAAGATCCCGATCTAGACAGATAGCTTTTGCCCAGCGGTCTCAGCGAGGCCATTAGGAAAATCTAAAGTACAATATCGAGCCTTGTTGCTTTCGATAGCCCTTTCTCCGTGAGTTATCCAAGAGTTCGTGAGTTGGTTTGACAACTATATGGGCTCATACGACATGTTGGAGACCATTGTGATGAAGTTGTTTCGGTGAGCTTGCAGAATAATGGCACTGACCAACTTGAGAACGTTCTCATAAATTCTTATCCCAAGCTTTACCCGAGGGCATTTGGCGGGTGGTATCCCATGTAATAGGTCAAGTATGATGACACAACTTTTGTCTAGACCACGGCAAAGCATCGTTGTTCACATAATGGTATCGAGTTCCCATCTCCACTATAGCTTATAAGGCTATAGTTAAGGGACAAGTCTAACCTAGTTGTCCCGAGCCCCACATGAATGCAACTTGCGGCTCCTACGGAGTATGCTCGGATGCTATATGAGGAAGCTTAAGCTAAGAGGTCGATGGATTTGAGTCTAATGACCCATCTTAATTGCTAGGCCTGAGACTTTCTAGATAAGGCACGTAGACCATAGCAGCTTCGATCACTTATAGAAGCTATTTCTTTGTCTCATCTCTTTTAATCACGGGAGAATCCGTTGATTCCCTCGCCTATCTCACCTGATTCGGGTACACACCTTCGTAATCCGCTTGTTCAATAGTTCACAGTCATTCTAAGGTAATTCCCCAAGGGTGGTACACATCGAACCGATGCTGTTAATAGTATACTAGTTGGTAGTAAATAATAAATACTCTGTACGATAATACTAGTAAATAGGGCTGCGGGAAACAAGGATCGGCAATTGAATGGCTCCGCAAATGCCGACATTTCCCCCGCTTGCCGCCAAGAAGACTGTAATTTATCAAGGCTGAATACAGTCAATATACCTGAATACTTAACCAATGGGAAACTTAAGTCAGTCACTACTGAGATCCCCAGAGGTGACTCTTTACAGTACCTGTAATTGCTTCTGGTCGTGGTGTTGATAACCAAGCACTACTTAGTATAGAGGATAGTACCGCACATTTATCTAGCTTCCCCGCGGGGTATTAGAATGGGGCACCACACCTGCAGGTGGCTGTATGCATTTATGTAGTATTTATGTACGGAGAAGACTACTACAGTATCCCAGCGGTCACTGCAGCAACACCCATATTGCGTACAACAATCATAATGAACATAGATCTTGATGAATACTAGTACATTGCAGAGAAAGATATGGGAGAACTGCAGTCGATTTGCCTGCACTGATTGTCAGCAATAGTACATACCATTGATTACAGATATGATAGCCTGCCATTGGCTGTGGGCAGTAATGTATGTATGTATTAACTTACTAAAAGTAGGTATTGTTACTAGTAGCTGAGGTTACAAACCCAAATGATTCCCCCCATTCCGCATATCCCCATTCATTTTTTCCCCCTCTGCTTCTTCTTCTTCTTCTTCTTCTACACTTCAAATGTGTCTACTCCTGTTTTCCTATCTTGACTACTTTTGACTGAGTGCAATGCTCTCGCGGTCTGAGACCCTAATTCACTACCTGTCCTTGCAGCTCCGCGAGCTTCATCATGGTCATAAAGAAGTGCAACATTTGTGACCGTCGCTTCAAAAAGACAGAGCATTTCAAGCGCCATGAACGGTCCCGTCAGTCAACCTTGCCTAGATATTTCTTCAGAATGGTCTCTAATATATCACAGACACCAAAGAAAAGCCGTACGAATGCAATGTCTGCCACAAACGGTTCTCTCGAAGGTATGCAGCTTCTAACGCGATACGCATTCTTTAAACATTGGATAGCCTGCACACACACAGGTTGCATTCGACGGGTAAGCGACTGTGACTTACAAACTCCAGCGATGTTCTAAGCCGTCATGCTAAGGGCCATAATGGTCCAGCTGCGCACACGACCACCAAGGCACTCAAACAACAGCCCTCCACATCATCTGCCCAGGACTGCCATTTTCAACCGTCCAATATCCCTGAGAATGGCCAACAATTCTTTCCTAATGTGGACACCGGCGTTTATTCCAATTCAATCCAAGCGCAGGAGGTAGAGCCTCGCGAAATGCCCATTACGGCGGCAGCAGGTCTCGCATCATCACTAGACTTTTTGGCGGACGTCTCGTCTCAGCATGCACGCACCGAGCCTGATGCCAACTCAATACTCGTGGTTGACCAACAAACGTATTTCGGGGAACCAACGGTATATCAACCATCCTATAGAGGGCCTGTCCTTGATCCCGTGCCAAACGAATCGCTCCAGCTGTGGTTAAATCCTTCTGACGCAACTTCATATCCTGGTTCCTTGGACTTTGGACATGACTCGAATATCGGCCTGATTGAGGAGAATGTGGGGGCTTCCATGTCACAGCGTCCTCAACGACATGACCACCCCTCCACTGATACAGGGCATACGAAAGCCGGTGCAACTATTCCAAATGACAGATTTGCCAAAGTTCAGAACTGTTGGCTAGGTCCGTCGAATAGCACTGGGCGCCTCATCAATAGTATCTGGCGGGACGTGGCATACGGCAGCATGGATAATATTTTTGCGACGCACCTTGGGCAATCGCCAAGCAGTCCACCTGTCTTGCTACAGAAGTCAAGGTATGGTCTTGATGAGGATTGCAGAAGACACCTTCATGCTACGTATGGATACATGCGACTTTACAGCCAACAATATCGTACTTCCCACGCTCCTCCAGCTTACGACTCGGCACTGATCGCTCTCGCCCAATTTCCTCCCGCTGAAATCTTAGATATCGCACTTGACCTATACTTTCGCAACTTTCATCCGCTTGTACCCTTTATCCATCTCCCAACCTTTTCCGCTAAAAACACTAGTCCTTCGGTGCTCTATGTCATGTGTCTAATTGGAATGGCTTTCCTAGGAACGCAGGGTACAGCTTCCTTCGTCTCTAAGAACTTCACTGTAAGACGCACTCTAGAGAAACCCCGCAGGCTATTGATTACTGATTTACTTCTCTACCAGTTCGTCCTGGAGAAACTCACAGCTGAGCTGGCCATGTGTTCCGTTGACACTGGAAGCCCGGGCAACACTATGTCGGCATTTGCTGCTGCTGCTCTTTTTCTTAATCTAGCTGCTCTGACCGGGGTACGTAATGTCTCCACCGAGGGGTTCCTGATTACTGATTAGCATGTAGGAGAAGGGCCATATCGAGAAAAGCCAGATGCTCTATGTTAACCTCATATCGGTAAATCGAGAATACCATCCATACCTTTTTACGCTAACTCAATAGTAAAGGTCGCCCAAAGGCACGGTTTATTTTCGGCTACCGAAGGTCAATTGCTTGACAAAAGTATGTTCGAAAATATTACAGACAATGTTCTAAGATGGAAAGCTTGGAGCAAAGTAGAATCTGTTAAACGGTTCGTTATCTGACATAATTGGAAGCGGAGGCCCACACTGACCGCACAGGTTAATTATTGCATTGCTCGTTCTAGATGCCTGGCTATCATCCTTCCTATCAACGAGCCCCATCATCGTCTCCGATATTATTCAGCTCATCCTACCATGTAGTGAAGTTCTTTTCGAAGCCAAGAATTCAACGCAGTGGGTACAATTAATTCATGAGGGCCAATGCATGTTAATGCCCACTGTGCTGTCTCCATCAGAAAATGTGGAGATCGCACCACTGGACAGCCATATCGACAATTTTGGCTTGCATGCAGTATTATCGATGGTACAGCTTAGGCTTTCAGATGCGTATCACCGCCTCCTCTCCAATCGCGCAAATTACCCATTCGCTCCATGTCACACCTATGCTATGGATGGCCGAGCCAGATGTCTCTCAAGCCTCCAACTCCAGATAGCTAGCAAGAATGGGTACATCCTACGCTGCACGGATCCGAACGCTAGTATCTTGTGGCACAACATGTGTATGAACCTCACAGCAGATATCCAAATCTTTGAACTGGCTGCGGGGCGTGCAGGTCCAGGTCCAGCGCGGAAGGCCCTGGACAATATTGCTGCTTGGTCGCAAACACCAGCCGCCCGGAGGGCTTGTCTACACGCAGCCCATGTGTACAAAATTATGATCAATCGCAAAGCATCGGATCACATTACGTTTCATTCAGTTTTCTCGCTTTTTTCCGCAGCTCTCGTCTTGGGGTTGTACATATACATGGTGCCCAGTAGCACTGAGCCACAGGCTGGAGGTACGCCAATCGACATCCTGGATGATATAGATTGGAATAGTCTGTGTGGCGAGGGGTTCACCAGCTTTATGGAGCCGAATGGGGCTCACTCGTATACAGAATCGGATGAGGCAGCGGTAAATTTCATTCGAAACGGGGGCACCGTGTATTTCCGTGGGCTCCCTTTTCAGAATGGCTATCACTCGGCGCGACGCATTTTGCTGGACTATGCGGGCCTGTTGAAGGATACTGGGAAGTGGAGCGTTCGCAAATTTTCCCACGTGCTCTACATTATGAGCGACGTCCTGATGGACATGGATTGAGCCTACTAAGCCCGGTCATAGTTGAATATTATCGCACAATGATTCTTCCGATGCTCCAAGCGGCCTGTGAAAGGGGTCTGGGAGCAGCTTCGAGTGCTGAACCACGAGGGTGTGGAATGGCGGCGTGGAAGCCTGAGGTGGAACTAGATTTCCACGTAGGATCACGCTCTACATATTTCGACGAGTCGTCTCTCCCAGATCAGGACTCTTATCAGTCCTGCGTCGAATACAAAATTCGAACGGGAATATTACATGCGACAACATACGGGTGGAATACACATGAAAACCTCTCAGTGCTACGCCAATGACCACAAGCCAATAATATCTTCACATCACAGGATCAAATATATGCTGAAGAGCAAGGAAAATATAAACCGTTATCTCGTATCACTTGGCACCACAACCACCTAGGCCACCCAACTCCGATTCGCAACCCTCTGCCAAAGTTTGTCCATCTCCTCGTTTGAAGCCATCACAGAAAGCATATAATGTTCATCGTCGCTCAAATATGAATCTCCTTGTGGCTCACCCGCAAGCACAACTCTTGATAGACCATGGTACCCTTCTGCATACCACTCCGGCTCCGATCCATCGTCACTCCGCGCTTCAACACGGTCACCTTCACCATCTACCCCCGTTAACGGGTGTGTTTCACGGTATTTTGGCAGACTCAGACCATTGCATCGCGCGTTCGGCATATGTAGCACATTATCTAGCACAAGTGTGTTGATCTCACCATCTCCCGAACGTCGTCGAACACGCAATTCGACGCTCCCTACACCGAGGACCCGTGAGCCGCCGATCTTACCCGGCGCTCGTCGGTAGTTTCGGAATGTTGAACGGTTCTTGGCGTAGTGGCAGTTACCATTTGTAACAATCCAATCCCAACATCTGTTGTATGTATTGGGCTGTTTAGATTTTGGTTGAGTTTTGGACTTCTTGGATGACGAGGGTTGAGAGTAGGGTTGACGACGGTAGGAGTGTTTTGATACATGATGATCCGATGCTTGGGTTGAATGTGGCATTGTTCTGTGATTCGAAATATATAAAACGCTCGGGCTCTAAAGGAGGGACTCTGAAATATGGAGGATCAAGTTTAATAAAAAAAAAATGAGAGAGAGGGATGTTTTATTATGTAAAATGAATGTAGATAGATAGGTACATAGGACCAGTGGTGGCGTGGCGACTACATCTTGAGAATATATATACCCATTGTACGAATCGAACCCAGCTCGAACCTGGTCCAGAACCAACCACTCCAATTCCAAACGACAATCTCAGGACAATGGTTGGGCGACGTTAGAAAATCACTCACAGAAATGGTAAAAGTGTTGACGTAACCCGAGGCTGGATGGCGAATTTGCTTTGCCGCTTGGCTACCAATTAAGCATCTTGACAAGCTTATTAAGGTGGAGTGATGAGTAACTGTCTTTCGTCAAATTCTCTGCGAAGGAAATTAGAATATATTCGTTCGTGTTCCTTGCGTAGAACTCTTGGGAGGAACTTGGAATTTATTGTTAGGGCTGTAGAAATTTAAGATTCTTGAAGAATAATATGATTTTCAAAACCAATGTAAGTCTGTCTATGTTCTGCATATGCATATGCATGCAGTATGTACAGCGGGTATATAATTATACATGGTGAGTAATTTTTAAATCCTTCCCCTTATGCCATGCGGGTGGGACGATCATTTCCTTCCATACAGAAGGCCCTCCACCATTTCCCCGATTGCCAACGAACTCGTCAACCCCGGACTCTCAATTCCTAGCAGGTTAATGAACCCAGGGAAGCCTTCCTCTTCCTGGATGATGAAATCCTGGAACCCTTTACCTGTGTTCACGGCCCCACCGCGTCCCAGCTTGGGTCGGATCCCACAGTAGTCCAGACTGATTGCCTCGGGGTCCACGTTGGGTAAATAAGCCTTGATCTCCGGAAGGGCCTGCTGCAGCCGGGCGGGACTGGGCACGAGGTCATTCGGATCGTCGACCCATTCCACGTCGGGGCCGAATCGTAGGCGGCCGCCGAGGTCTAGAGTTAGATGGGTGCCCAGGCCGCCGAGGCCGGGCAGCGTGACTGGATAGACCAGCACGGAGGTTTTCGGGAACGACGCCGCGTACGAGAAGTACGTTCCCTTGGCGTAGTATGGGGTACGGTGTCGTTCGGGTGGGAGGATCATGTTATTGATATGGCAAGCGTAGTTCCCGGCGCTGTTGACCAGCGTCTCAGCGGTAATAGACGTCTCTGTACCGTCGCTCGTCACAGCCGTGATCCGGTATCCGTTCTTGCCTCCATTCAATGCCTCGATCCCCGTTACATTTGTGAGAAACGCACAGTCGCCGCCGCGGTCCTCGAAGTCGCCCTGCAGATAGGTCATCAGAGAGTGGCTGTCCACAATGCCCGTAGTCGGACTCTCGACGATGCCCGCGAGAGCCTGGACCTCCGGCTCGAGGGCTTGAGCCTCTGCGCGACCGATGAGCCGTGTCGGTACGCCTATCCTCTTTGCGTGCTCGTGGGTCTTTAACGCTGCAGCCCATTGCTCTTCTGTTTGCGCTACGATCCATTTCTTGGTGTTGCGGTGAGGGAGGCCGTTCCGCGCGCATAGATCGTATATCATCTCTTTTCCTTTGATGCAAAGCTTGGTCTTCAAGGTATCGACTCCGTAGTATAACCCGGCATGGATGACCTGTATGTAACAGAAGGGACCAAGTACAATTAATGCGTTGATTCAATGCGACGATGCCCGATCGGATGGGGGTGTACTAGTACTACTCACCTCCGAATTGCGACTACTAGTCTCTGTGCCTGGCGCATCGTGTCTCTCCAGAAGAATCGTTGATGTGCCCTCTCTCGATGCCAGTTCCCGGGCTACTGCGAGACCAACCACTCCCGCACCAATGACCTTTTTGTGTGAATGAGCGGTTGCTTTTTGTAAAATGCGCTGGCAAGGGTCAAGGAAAGGTGTTTACCGCATGTGTGACATCTGCCGTGGCTGTTCGCGTGCTGGAGAAGTTGCGCCGCGGATGGAGGAGTTTCCTCGAAATAGAGATACTTGCGCGCGTAGCCATGTTCTCTCGGAATATGGAGTTAGATTTAATCTAGGGCGACCATTGATCACGTCTTTGTTCAGGTAGTAGGGGGAATGCGTTGTCGATGGCGCAATTCCCCACGTGGGCGCAATGCCGACCGGCGATAAGAGTCCGGCGATAAGAAAAGTTGTTGTTTGGGTGTTTCTCGATTGGGTAAAGGTTCAGGCGACCTCAACAATCACTGTATTGATACATGCACTAGTAGAGGGAAAGTCGAGAGTCTGTCATTCTTCGACACGCTAATTATTTACTAGAGCACCTGTGTAATAATATCTATGGTATCTCGATGAAGAGGTTGAAGTGATTTGTACGTTCTATGTCAATAGTATCCTATGCTCTTATATATCCTCTGAGCACACTTCAAACTATAGTCTTAAGAGTCTAACCACGCTTTCCAACATTCTTCAACATGTCGTCCAAATGCTAGATACCATTAGTCTAACTGCTTGGGTCGAGGGCAACGAATATACCACTTACCCGTTTCTGTTCGGTTGCTAACTTGCCATGGGTATCCTGCCTGAACGTCAGTGAAAGCGCTTCCCAGAGTGGGCAACTAACATACGCTGATGATAGTCAAAATCAAAGAATAATTATTAAATAGGAATCTTTCGCGTCTTTTCGCGTCGCCGCCAATCCGGCTCAGTTTCGCCAAAAGGTTGTCAAACTCGGTTGCTAACCGCAACAAGCTATTAGACACCGGCTCGTCGTCTCCGGCTTCACTACTCAGCACCAAAATGCCATGTAACAACTGACCGAACCTCTGCGTAAGGAAGTGGGGCGCTGAGGATTGGTTCAAGTCATCCCCACCAGCCAGAGATAGGGCGGATACAGCACTTCGGCCCGTGTGCGAAGCTACCCGCTTTAAAGACTCGCAGTGGAGGTCCATGATCACCTGGAACCTAGGCCAGAGCCGCATGTTTATACCATTGATGTACGCGTCAGCAACGGGCACTTTCCGACGTTGGAGTTCAAAGGCGGCCTGCTGATTCAATCGTACGCAAATCAGAACTCCTAGAGAGTCGGTCGTGTGTTCGACTAACTGCTTGGTCAATCCTTGACCGAGAGCAAAGACTGGGTCGAATATTTCAGTGGCTTTGCGGGATATCTGCTGGAAGGATAAGGTGGAGAACATCTCCGTCATAAAAGAGTATTCAGCAGAGACATTGTCCATCAAGGCCAGGTTGAAGTTCCTGAAGGGGACCTCGATGCCATGGAAAGAAGTGTCCTCCTCTGCTACATATGAAGATATGGCCATATGATGGCCAGTTCGCAAGATTTCAATTCTCCTTCCGAGCGAGAATGGGTCATGCGCCGCGGGACCAGCCCGCCCACCAGGGACGAAATTTCCTATAGCGAAGTTAGATTCCGTAGCGCAGCGAGAAGAAATAGAGAACTCACCTGATTTTGGAGCCGAGGGATCTCCTCCTAGCACTTCATTCCGATCGCTAGGGTACACTTTGATCTTTTCAAGCGCTTGAAGATAGCGGGTAAAATGAGATAGATAATACCACCGCATCGTGTTGATATAAGCCTGTGTAATCTCCCCTGCAAGGGTTGAATGTGCTTTGCACAGGTAGCTATACAAATCCTTGAATTTCACCAAGCGCTGCTGTTGGATAATCTGGGCGTTGATATTTGGGGATCGCAAGGCTCTGATCTGTGAGACCAAATAGTCCCGGATCCTTTCAACTGCTTTTTTCTTGATATCGCTCAGAAGTGGGCGAACATCCTCGACCGACTTGGCGCTACTAGGGCTAGAAACTTTGGCTTCTATAGTGGCTGCCCGGCTCTCGATCTCGTTCAGCGCTTTGACCCAAGTTTCATCGATCGGCCCCTCTACAATTAGTCGGACAGCTTTTGGCGAGATGGAGATTTCCTCCACAGCGGGCCCCAGAAGTTGTTCTACATTGCGTCGATTCGCCAACATTGCATTCAACTGTATGGATCGAGTCTGCAGAGTCTCTATCTCCGCCGAAACTGCACCGAGTTCAGTCTGAAAGTCATTCAGATACTTCTCTACCGACTTAGAAACATCGTCACAACCTGTGATAGCCGAATGTAGATCCTGAAATTTATCTCTTTCCTTCTCGAACTGCTGGATTGTTTGCGCGCCAACGTCGCTATTTGTAGCCCTCCTCGGCTCAACGGGTTTCGTGACAAACTCCTCGAGGCTGAGATCTCCAAAGTCGATTTCCGCCACCAACTGCGACGGTTTTACTTCAAGTGTAGAAGATAGGACAGGCGATTCTGCTCCCGCTAGCTTTTCGTTCCGCGTTCCAATAATATCATTTAGCACATCAAGTGGATCCGCCACGTTAGATGGCCGAGCCTTCGCAGGAAATTGTTTCACGGCCGTGTCGTCGGCACGCTGAGTGGCGGAAAGAGAAGTAGTAGAGTCGCTAGGAGTAAGTAAGTTGGACAATGACGAGCCAGGTCGACTAGGCTGAGGACGACTATTCTGCGCATAGGGAGACAGACGAGAAGTGGACCGTCGAGGAAGGGGGGAATTGCTGCGACTGTCAATCTGAGGTCCTGAGGGGGTCGAATGACCGGACATGCGGTCAAGCCACATGGTGAAAGACCAGCCCAGAGAGGCGTTCCGGTATGGAGCAGTGGTCCACTGGCCTCATTAAGGCCGTCTCGATAGTAATCAAACCGCTCGTGGCAAGGAGAGAACAACACAGTTCAAAATCAAATATGAGCTTCCGCGGGAAGGTACGCACGTGGGAGAAGAAAGGAAGGGAAGAAACAATTGAGGTTGGTATAAACTCCCTTGTTCAGGAGAGTTCCGTTGAACATCCGTAAGGTACCTCTCGGAAGCTCACCAATAAACGGATACACTGACAGGAGTTCGAGACGCTACGGCGATCGAAACAGACCAGAAATACAGCACATCCGAAACTAAGCCTGTTGCGGTCTAGCGACATCAACACCCCGCCACAACAAAATACTTTTTTTTAATTCGGCGGTTTTCGTCCATTTCTCTCTTCGTCTCTTTTAACCTTCTAATTTTTCTCCCTCTTCCCCTCTCTCCTCCGACTCAATTTTCTTCCTCCTCTCTGTCTCTCTCCCGCTTGCATCTATACTTTCCCCTTGTCATTCACTCCAACCAAAACCTTCACCATGGCTGACGAAGAGCACGTACGTGATCGCTCCTCTACACTTTTCTCCACCTGATTTTGATGTACCTGCGCTGTTGCCCATTTTGAGCCCCGCACCATGACCCCCTTCCCCTCGTTCTTGCACGCAAAGACGTCTGCGTATCTCGTGCCCATTTCACTGCAATTTTAACTGACGCTACTTTCTTTGTATACAGACTTTCGATAGCGCCGATGCCGGTGCCTCTCTCACCTTCCCCATGCAGTGCTCTGCATTGAGGAAGAACGGTCACGTTGTCATCAAGGGCCGCCCTTGCAAGATTGTCGATATGTCCACCTCCAAGACCGGAAAGCACGGCCACGCCAAGGTTCACCTGGTCGCTCTCGACATCTTCACCGGCAAGAAGCTTGAAGATCTGTCCCCCTCCACCCACAACATGGAAGTTCCCAACGTCAAGCGCACGGAATACCAGCTTGTAAGTAGATCGAAAGTTGATGTCTGTCTGGCAGGGATAGGTTTTTGCTGATCTTGCATAGCTTGATATCACCGACGATGATTTCCTGTCCCTGATGACCGAGAATGGTGATACCAAGGACGACGTCAAGGTCCCCGAGGGTGATCTCGGTAGCCGGATCAAGAAGATGTTCAAGGAGGAGGAGAAGGACGTCAGTAAGTATTCAACACAATGCTCACCGTCAGACCGTTGCTAACGAAGCTTGAGACGTCATCGTTCTCACCTCCATGGGCGAGGAGTGTGCCATCGACTGCAAGGAAGCCCCCAAATAATGAATTTTTTTTTAATAGTCGTGGACTCTTTTGTGCTCCATTGGCCCTTGTGCGTTCTATGGTCACCCTTTAAGTTTGCCCCTTCGATTATGAAGTATGTTACGTTTTGGGCGAGATCCGACCCGGCTCTTATATTGGCCACTTGACCTTGGAGAAGGTTGCGTTTAGTTGGCAGCGCAAAGCGTGCTTTCGCATGACGCGAACCAGTCTGAGTCCATCTTTCACGATATTTTGACGAATTCCAAAAAAATTCAGTGGCTCTTCCTAATACACAAGAGATTTGCTTTGCTTTTAACTGGTACCATCTCCTCGTAGAGTCATTACTTAGTAGGGTACGCTTTGATAAAGATCGAAGCGAACGAAAGACCAAAAGAAGTCCGTTCTCGACCAGAGACTAGTATATATATATATGTATGTATGTATGTAACGGCGGTTCCTTGAACCAATATATTCTGGAAGGCCAGTTACCGATATTACGTCGGGTAAATTTTCGGGAGGAGATAAATAGGAGTGTATGTTTGAGAAGATTTATTAAATGGGATGGGGAAAGGAAAGGAAAAATTTCATAAACAACTCACATCTTTCTTACTACCCGCGGAAATTCAGCACGCAACCAACCACCTACCCCACGCCACAGGGAAAAGGCCCATGGCCTCTATACCCCATACCTTAATAAATTAAGAATGAAGAACACCTGTGCCCTCCATGGAGTATACTACCCGAGGGGTCTGCGGGCAGGAAGGGTGCCGTGAAACTCGGTATTATCTCGATAATGGGCTCTGGTTCTGCCGCCGGGGTCATCAGCAAGAGGTATGCTCGTAGCCCACCTTAGCCTCGCCCGCCCGCTCAGCATACCGAGGGGAAGAAAGGGAAGGGAAGGGAAGGAGCCATGCTGACAAAATACAACAAGGGCCGGCAAGTGGAAGAAGAGCCTGACGACTTTGGGACGCAAGGCAAGACGAATCGGGTGAAGAAGGAAGTGTCCGAAAAGGGTGCAAAGAGTAAGCGTTGCTAATCCGGCTGGACTCCCATCAGGTGCTAATTTATTCCTGTCAGCGTATCGTGGCCGACAGGCTTACAGCCTCTTTCTGCAGGTGTATCAGTTGATCCTCTGGAAGCAGTGCCACGCTTTGGTGCAAAGCCGTGGTTTTCCGGCGCAACTCGAGGTGCGCCCTCATTGGTTCAATCTTACCCAATGCTTTGTCGGCTGACGATGAAGGTACAGCATGTCGTCCGTGACTTGTGGGCGCTTCGTCTGGAAACCTTCTCGAACAAGATACAGGATCCCTCCGAAGGTGATGAGATAGAGTTCTTCAGCTCACAGCTCACCGCGGAACAGCAGGAGGAGGAGCCAGATATCGTTAAGTTTGGAGGGAAACATCTGCAATGGCCTCGACTCGTGGACTCTGTCAGCCTCTGCTACCTGGGAGCTTTCTTAATGCGCCTTCCGGTCGGTATTGGAGACTTTCACCGGTAAATCCCCTCGGATGAGTATCGGATGGTGATTACGATCTGACTTCTCGCGCTCCAGGATGATCATGTACGGTGATATCCCTTATATTCGCATAACACGCTCAATCCCTCGTGAAATGAGAGATAAATTACCTCAGGAGTATCTCTCGATCATCGAGACCACGGTCGGCGCTCCTGTCCTTTAGATTCTAAAGGATCATTTGCTGATCGTCTCTTAGAGGTTGCTGAAAGCGGAGCATCTCCATAAGGCCGTATTGCAACTTTCACTTCTCTATCGCCGCAAGTTTGGCGTGCACTTTCCAGCTCTAAATATGCCGCCGATGCTATATCATTATATTAGGAGACTAGCTCTTCCAAGTAAGAAGCCATCGCAGTTCGGGTGATCTACCCCTATACTAACGTATTGCTTAGTTGACATCTACTCCGCCGTGAAGAAACTGCAGGATCTTCTAGGTTTTTCCTTCGAATTCCCGAAAGACCTTGCCAGCAGAAGTAGACCCCATGACCTACCTGAAATCCAGTTGATCACTCTCATCGTCATATCTACCAAGTTACTTTTTCCTTTCGACGACCTTAAAAGATACCCTATCTCCGCAAAGGAACCCGCCACGCAAGTCATCGATTGGAAGCTCTGGGCTCAGGCCCAGAGGCATTTCGATAGCCGAGAAACCGCTCGGGGCAGAATTGGCAAAGGTAATGAAGTCCTAGTGAATGAGCGTGATGTGTTTAACATGTCACCGAGTCAACTGGATGAGTACATGAATTGGTACGAGAACAGCTGGCTCGACAATAGCAAAGGTATGACGGTATTGAGAGAAATTATTTTATTCGTGTCGCTAACCCTCGAGAAAAGTGTCAAATCCACTAAGCGATTTATTCCCCGTGGGGCCAACCGGCACGGATTCTCAAGAAGTAGCCGGTCCGCCAGATGAAGATGACGAGGAAGCTGTAGGTTCAATGCTGCGAACAGTTACACAACAACTCAAGCCTCGGAAAGTTATCACGGAGAAGCGCTCGGATATCCCTCGACCAGGGTCATCGTATGTGCGGTATAAAATGGAGTCTGATTTACCCGAGAATGCGCGACCCTTCTACGAAACGGCAGCAAAGGTGGTCGGAGTATCATTAACCACCCTCGTACGAGCTGTCTCCCAAGCAGAATATAAGATTATGCGATGGCTGGAAGACCAGAGACGTATTGAGCTCTATGGAGATGCTTCCGGCATGGAGTTTGCGAAATTCGATAGCTCTGATGACATGGGTGAACAGGATATGACCGATTCGGATGACAGTTCTTGATATTAAACCCTCTTTATTGGGTATAATTTCCCTGTTATTTTATCTCGTTCGATGCTCTCAATGTCACTATAAAATTGTAATCAGCAGAACGCCATACGGCCGCATGACAAGTTCAGATAACTGGTCAAGGGAGGGTTTTAATCTACTCGAGCAAGTCATTATCCTGGTGGAACATGAGTAACTCATGAAGGACACCTGCAATACGACGTTGGGGTAAGCATTCTAGCCCGAAGAGCAACGGGGAATATGAAGCGATTCGCCTCCGACAGCCTGACAAATTACAATTATTGTGGCATCCTCTAATCACATGTCGGAAACACATTATGCTTATTGTCATGCTTACTTATTTTTCGCACTAGCGAGGAACCAGTTCCTGTACTGTGAAGAGACATGCATGCAGATACGAGCTGCAAAGAAGAATCTAGACATCCGATGGCGTTTTGTCAAGAACATTGATCTAGACGCTGGGAATATGGACCATCATACGATGTGACAAAGTACCAAGAAAGGGGTATAAAAAGATGAACATGACTTTGGACTGAGAACTACAACTCCCAGTGTTGTAGATAAAGCGAAACAATGGAGACCTTCCGACTACACAACGTCCTTTCTTCCCTCTGCATTCTTTTCCCTTTTATTATTCTCGCGAACCCAGCTCACGCGGTTCCTTATCAGACTCGCATTCTTGAGACCGGCAGTACCTTCGGTGCTCCAGATCCATATGGCCCATGGCAAATGATCCCCAGCAATCCCACCGAAGACCTGACCTACATCAAAACCACCAACACCGGAACTGGGAGGGTAGAAGTCCACATCGCCTCGGGTTCATCCGGATTCAGGACTCGCACCCTTGAAGTCGGAACAACATTTGTCTCCGAGGATAACGGAACTTGGCAATTGATCGATGCAGACGGTGACGGCAGACCTGATCTTGTTTACATTAAGACCAGAAATACCGGAACCGGTAGGGTGGAGGTACACATTGCGTCCGCGTCATCCAACTATCAGACTCGTATCTTGCAAACAGGAACCACTTTCTACCCAGAGGAGAATGGAGTCTGGCAGATGGCAGACTTCGACCATGATGGAAAGCTGGATCTAATTTACATCAAGACTCGCAATACCGGTACTGGGAAGGTTGAAGTCCACGTGGCGTCGGGGGCATCGAATTACCAAACACGGATTCAGGATGTTGGAACGACGTTCTATCCAGAGGATAACGGTGTCTGGCAGATGGTCGACTTCGATCGCGATGGAAAACTGGATCTAGCTTACATCAAGACTCAGAATACGGGAACTGGAAAGGTTGAGGTGCATGTTGCGTCAGGCTCGTCGACTTATAACACTCGCGTCCAGGAGGTCGGCACAACCTTCTATCCGGAGAACAGTGGGTTCTGGGAACTGAGTGACTTTAATCATGATGGCGTCCTTGATCTAGTGTATATCAAGACGCAGAACACTGGAACCGGCAGCGTTGAGGTTCATGTGGCGTCGGGAAAATCATAGTCTACACGTTGGATGTGTAGCCAGTTGATAGTATCATTTGATGTGGGGGCTGTTTGGCACGGGGTTTGCTACTATAGTATTAAATCCTTTGTTTTGAATCGATCAATTAAGTTTAAAGTTGAATTTGGACCCTTAATAGCCACCAACATATCAGCCATAACATTATGCTGTCACCGTAACTCCAATATCGCTGCAGAATCGTACACTCAAGCTCTAGACTACCAAAGAAACTGTCGTTGAAAGTCTACTGAGGGAGCTCCGCTCCAAATATTTGGTTCCTGTGGTATGCGACTGAGCTCTTCCGCAACCTCGAGTTGGGGCTGGGCCATATAACCCATCGCCTGAGGCCTTACATCGTTCTGGATTGATCGAGCGGACTTCCCTAAGCGCGGTTCTCTTGGTCCCATGGTGATATTACGCGTCGACGGACTAGCAGAATCCGGAGATAATGATCTATTGTTTTCTTCACGTCGGTCGCCAGGCACTGATGTTCCAGATATGTCCGAAGATTGGTATTCGGACGGCTCGTGTTGTTCATTAGACCCAAGAATTCTTTCCTCAATAAGCCCGGCCCCTGATGACAGAAGAGTGGTATTATTATCAGAAGAGCCAGGTGTCGACGGGCCCAAGCCTTGGTTGGCTGCGGAAGGCCTCCGGTGGCTTAGACAATCATACTGCCATTCGCGAACACTGTGAGCAGTATCCAGAGGGAATCTCTTCCAGTACTCTGCTCCTCGTTTCCCCAGTCGGGGGTATGGGGAGTATAACAAGTCTCCAATACTCCTCCTGGTTCTATGCTGCCTATCCTGGTTTATACTGGAGGACAACTGAGCGTCCGAGATCCGAGAGAGCACTTTTAGCAGCACGGTTTCTGTTTCATGTAGACGGTGCTCTAGGGACTCTATGTATCCCTTCGCGGGGCCACTGAAGGAACGTGAGTCCTCTACGCCAGAACATTAGGACTGGGCCGCAGACAAACCGTTTTAGCTGCTCGGGCCAGTCGCACACTCGATTGTGCTGGAGGCATTGCGTACACACCGGCCTTGATAAGAATTAGCTCCAACATGGTACAACATGGCCGTGGCTAAGAACTGAATCTTACTTTTTGCCACTACACTACATGATACCTTAGCTCTATGGCCCATAGTGGAATTAGAACCAACGTGGGTCGTACCTTTTGCTTCCGGAAACGACAGGCGTTGCAAGCGATTGTAATGCGGGATGCTTTCCCAGCTTTGTTTGGGGGAGCCATCTCACAGGGGTTCTTCAGGTAAATTTAAATGTTTGATGTGCAGTAGCTTAGTGCACAATGGTGAGCTGATCATTGTGTTTAGAATGGCATGGATTTTGACTCTGGGGTTGGATGAGAAATCACGTGCGGTAGAAGGTTTACCCGATGGATCAATTCGAATCCGATTTATACCAATTATAACAACCAACCTAGATCCTGATGAAGATCATGGCGACTACATTGTAACCAACTCTATTAGCTGTGAAACATATCTCTGGTCATCACTTCAAGCTCAATTCTCGTGAATCCTTTCTAGCCCTCGGATTTTGGCATCATTCGTCATTATTTCGACAGCTAAGGGAGCTAGCCGGCAACAGCACAGTTAGCTCTTGATCTGATGAATCGTTTTCCACTTGTTTTGACGTTTGTGGAGATTCGTCGGAAGCTTGATACCAGTCTCCGCTTTCTTCTTCTTCTTCTTCTTCTCCTCCCCATTGATCAAGCACATCCTTCGCGTTCAAAGTATCAGGATGTTTGGGACCCAGGTATTTCTCACGAAGGCGGACGCACTTAGTCATCAAGCTGATAGCATCATGTTTTCTACCTGTGTAGTGCCGGATGTAAGCAAGATTCACCATGCTGGTAATGGTGATGGGATTCTCTGGCCCTAATATCTTCTTCTGACTCTCTAGTACCTGCGTCCTCAACTCTTCTGCCTGTTGCCATTTTGCTTGGCTGAAATACGTCAATGCCAGGTTATGTATACTGGTCAGAGTAAAGGGATGCTCAGGACCCAGCACTTTCTTCTGGTGCTCTAGGATTTGAAGAATGAGCTCTTCTGCCTCTTTTAACTTCCCTTGGATGTGGAAGAGATTTCCTAAATGTACCATACTAGACAGAGTATCAGGGTGCTCTGGGCCTAGTACCTTTCATGTGGTTTCCAGGACCTGAAGTCTAAGCGTTTCTGCTTGTTTGTGGTGTCCTTTCTCGTAGTAGACTCCTGCTAGATGGCTCATAGTTGTCAGAGTGTCACGGTGTTCTGGACCTAGTATCTGGTTTCTGGTCTCTAACACTTCAATATTGAGCGCTTCCGCTTCCGTGAATCGACCTTGACAGCTGTAAACCGATGCTAATTTGCTCATACTGACCAGAGTTGAAAGGTGTGCTTTCCCATTTCGCCTCTGCCGTATGCCCCTGGCGTCGCAAAACAACGCTTCTGCCTCACTGTATCTCCCATCACTGACTAGACAGTCCCCAACTTTTTCAAGCAAGTCTATGTATTGTTCTTGTTGACCTTTAAACTCATCCTCTTCTAATAGGGATAATGCATGGGGTAAATACGCCCGCCACAGATTCCGATCAGTGTGGTCATCGTTGGGGAAAGCTTCGGTTAGCCTTTCTGCTGTTTTGCGTATAAACAGGGTGAATTGCTGGTTTCTCCTCATCCAGCTGCGAGTCGCTAAATATACAAGTCGATGAAGGTTAAGAGGATTATGCTTAGCTTGGTCAGAAATAAATGAATAGGCACTGAGAAGCCCTAGAACTTTGACCATTTGTATCTTGGACTTTGCTGGTGGCAGAAGGGACTGTGGTATATTTCGTGGGTTGACGCAAGCCATGAATGAGAGATATTCAGCAGCCAGTTGATCAATCTGTTGGATTTGTTGAAATGAGACTAACCAGGTAGTTGCTACTGGGTTTGGAACATCCTGATAACGCCCTTCTGTCTCAAAATCCTCACTCAGGAGCTCTACCACCTCTGGTTCCTGCTCCTGTAGCAGAGTTAGGTAGTCACCGAGGCTAATGCTGTTCTCCTTGACGAATGCTGCCGCTTGCATGATTGCTAAGGGCAGGAAAGTCAGCTGACTCAAAAGGGCAACGGCGGTTCCGCGGTCATCGGACAAGTCTCCCCCAGGCAATGCCATTTGTAGCATCTTTATACCAGTCTCTTCGTCTACCTTGGAGATCGAGATTTCAGTGGGGGCCAGCTTTACAGCCAGCTGTCTATTGCGAGTAGTAAAGATCATTCGACCTTGCTCAGTTCGAGGCATAAGGTCCTTAAGTGCTGGAGCACTATTGCTGCCCTTGGTCCACATATTCATATCATCTGCGTTGTCAAAAATAAGAAGCCATTTAAGAGCACTCTTATGACTAAGATGGTCCTTGACTTGCTCTTTTGCTTCTGCCGGCTTAACATCTTGTATCCCAAGCATCTGAGCGATGTTAATATACGTCTGCTCAACAATTTCAGGGCTAGTGCATGGGATCTAGAAAACGGAGCACTCAGCATCTCTTTCTCGAACACGATAAGCTAGCTCCAATGCAATATGAGTCTTTCCAACCCCCCAATCCGCTAATAGCGATCTTGCCAGGGCCTTGCCTTTCAAAGATCAACTTTTCTAGCTCCGCCATCTCATTCTGACGCCCAACAAATTGTAAATTTCTGTCAAAAGGAATCATCCAGTGAGGGTTCTTTGGCTTTGCACCCATACTTCACTATGCTTAGCAGAATGTAAAAGCCCGGATCAAGCATAGTTGGCTCATCCTGGAAGTTACTGTGTGCCATTCTGGTTTCCAATTGACTAAGCAGAGTCCGGATTTCTTGACTTGGCCTTCCTAAGGTATCGGTGATGCGTTTCTTTCGCCTGAACCCATCTGGGTACTGCCTACCATAATCATATCGGACAACCGCATTGCTGATAATGACATCGCCTAGAAAAATCGGGGTATTGCTGGACGACAGCAGAGGGACTCCCCCACAGACCCCTACAACCAATGCGAGACTGACTTCAGTGTAGGTGAACTTCATACTTGCCGCCACACTTGCTGCACTTGCTTTCCCCATTTCGGGCATATGGCATAGGACAACATTGTGTTTGCCTATTCTTCCCACTGTATAGGCGGCGGCGTCTCTGGGATGTTTGCCGTACTGGTCACCGTATCGATCATAGAATTCATCAAACAGCCCTATCACGGCATTCGCCTCGATTGTGAGTGCACAGATAATGGCGATGCTAAATTCGCTGCGGTCCTTTGGGCGCATTCTGATGTATTTTTATTTTCAGAACGAAAAGAAAAGAAAAGAGAAGAAAGAGTTATGAGTGAAGGGGACAGTCAAAATCCAGCGCGTCTGGTTGAAATGCGAAATGGTTAATTAAAATAGCCGCCTGGTGTGGAGAACAATAGCGTGTGGTATGAGAAGAAGCGATATCCCTGCATAGGAGGCGCCAGCCAGTCGCTTACCCAACTCGACAAGTTGGAGGGGTAAGTCGTGGGACACTAAGGCTGCACGGTCATGGTGGGGTGATATTCCCAATATCGTATCATGGGGGTTGCCCGGTCAAATTTCATATAATGCCTTCATTTTGTAGGATCCAGTCGCACCAGACTCAGTGGCGCATGAGTCTTATGAATACTTATGACACTTTCAGGAACATTATCTGCTTGTCAACCTCCCTACATGAGTAACACACTTATGTTGGATGAACTATCAATACCTATCCAGGTATCATTGCGGCGTATATGTATGCACCCATTCGGTGTACCATTTGCCTTCGTCTACTAGATCAATCTAGACCACTCAAATAGGACAGTATGACAACTTCTATTGGTCTATTTCACAGGATACTTGCATATGCACAACCTACAAGGATGTACAATTTGCTCTCTGATCACTTATGTCTGGATCCTAAGTCAATTCCTGGATATAGATTATCTCTGGGCTTCGTGTAGGATAACTCAAGAGGTTAAACTATTCTTGTAAAGTCTTTAGCATGGGCAGGAAGAACTCACCTCTCTTAGCAGCTTTGATTTTTGAAAGGAACGGTCAATTATAGAACTTGCCCAAGAATATACTCGGTAAGAAACTGACCTCACCTTCTACAAGATAACTGGCAGCAAGAGAATGGCTCATTTTACTTACCATCAGTCTTTTCAGATCGAAATCAACCATGTAATCCAATGCATCTAGAGTCACATATCCGGACCACCAGCGTCAGACATCGAGCATCCATGAGTGAGAATGTATCATCCCAAGAGCTATGTTCTGATAACTGTGCTTTTAGTCTGATAGGGAATACACTTGCCCGAACACGTGCTCTTACAGTAACCTTATACTCTCTATTGTGCTTAGCGATCAGGGTCAGAACAACGCCTGGGTGATCTGGCAGCGCATGGACATTGCAAACGGAACTAGATAGTCTGTTTTCGAGTTGGATTTTATGTATCCTTTGATGGTTACTGGACGTGTGTCTTGCTCTCATCCGATAAATTTCTGGAAATGATTTCAGGTCATTGTTCCGTACTGCCATAAGACAAGCCTATCTGTGTGTGGCCTAGCTTGTTTGGGTGTTAGGATGGGGAGTCGCACCTTATAGTGGTTAAGTAATACATAAAGTCCAGTTTTCTCTTTTGTCATTATATAATAAAGAGGAAAGATATAATAATAGACTGCCAATTGACTTTGTCATTACAAAAATAGGCTTGAAACCACGGTTTCCATTGGTGAACTCATGGACCTTGACTTTGTCCACCTACTGCAATTAGCCAAGATGGCTCATACAAGGACGATAGACTGAGACAGCGGATGACTACACAGTAGACACAGAAATGATCGAGGTAGCTTCTACTACAGGTGATCATCAATAGATTGATAGGAGCAAAGCAGTGTCACGGGGCTATACACATGTCCTAATTCCCTACTACAACATTCTAACAAGCCAAAACAAACGGGGGTTTCTCATTGAACCATCACAAGAGAATATATCATTTCTTCAATCTAAGGATACGACCACACATCACCCCCACAACCATAAGTTATAACCCTCTAATCACTCTCTCCAGGAATTATTTCAGAGTCAGGACCTGGAAATACCACCGACTCATGACCATCGGGAAAGCGAACCTATATAGCGCAACTCATGTTAGATAATTCTTGCCGAAACTATTCCATTCCATATGATCTTCTCGGCTTACCAGGTAAGGAGGCCCTCCAGCGGGGCCTCGAACTTCGATGATCTCAGCTACCTGGTCTCCGCCACCTATGTCTAGAGGGCAGTTAGTTGCCAATGGACTTGTTGAAGGGGGAAATTGCCTCATTGAATGAGGAAAACGTACTCCGGGTCTTGATTGCAATCCTATCGCCAACGGAGGCTTCCATCTTGGGGGTACTTTCTTGTTCTTTTGATTTGGAACGTGTGTTATTTGTAACTCTGGTCAGAGATTAGAGAGGGGGGAAATAGAAGGGGGTTTAAATAAGTTTTCTTTTTTTCCTACATCGTTGATAAGCCTGACGTCAGGTTGAGGCCGGAAACAGCGATGATGAGATCATCTACAACCTCAGCTCATAATTTCAATAGACATGTATAATACTGGCTGGCGGAGGGAGGAGCATCTGGTGATCTCGGACACTTTACGAGCGAATCCGTGCACTTATGCATGTCCAGCGCATACATGCATAGCAGTAGACCAAACTATTCCTCTCCGATGGTTGGGACCCCGCTTTTGGAATTCTCAAGGAAAGTGAGAATCCTTTGGGGACTCGCGGAGGGCTACTATCTTGCACACTATTAAAGCATTCTATAAGTAATAGCAAGCTTGTAGATCGGAGTCGTTACATTTGCGTCGTGTAGTGCCAATTCTACGTAAGCGTAAACTCCTGGGCCAGCAAAGCCCTGACAATACAACCTGTACGAAAAGGGTCAAAGTTCCATGGGTATGCTGGATCAGAAGAAACCCACTCTTTGGTCTCAAAAGACCAACCACCCCTCTGCAGACTATCTCTTGGAAACGGTACTGACTGGTCAAATGCAGAGTGCTGGCTGCTGTCGATCTTCACGGCCCAGACCCCTAAATCAGCTGGACGGGATCCTATACGGATCGTAAAGAGGGTCCACTGATAGTTCAGCTACCTTGCTTGCAACAATCCGCCCCTCTTTGGCAATTGCCACTAAGGATTTCTCTACCTGGTCCAGAACGGTAATATTTTCAAGGGGGTTGGCATTGAGAATCAGAAAATCCGCAATCGCCCCCTCCTTAATACAGCCCAGTTTTCCTTCCATCCCAACCAATTTGGCAGCGTTGATAGTTGCCGACTGAAGGATCTCTAGCGGGCTGAGAACGGCTGCGCGAATACTAAACTCTCGGTTCTGCAGCGTGTGGAGGCCTGCCAGGAGATCAGATCCGTAGCACATTGTGATACCAGCATCGCGTAGAATTTCCAGAGCCTTGAGACCACTGGCCAGAACTTCGCGGTTCTTCGCTTGGCTGACCTCGTCAAGGAAGTTATCAAAGGGGGGCTCGGCCATTCCTTGATACGTGATCAGTGTCGGAGTGAAGACTACCCCCTTCTCGTTACAGTATCTGGCTGTCTCGGCGTCAATGAAGTTGCCATGCTCAATGCCACGCACACCATTGTCGACCGCATGGCGGATTGCCTGCGCCGTATAGGCATGAGCGGTAACGTAGGTCTTGGAGTATGCGGCGGTGGTTGTAATAGCCTGAATCTCATCGGCGGTGAACTGCAGCATATCTAGTGCATCGGTTGGCGTTGCAACTCCTCCGCCACACATTATCTTGATGAAGTTTGCCCCTTGCCGGAGCTCATCTCGAACTGCCTCTAAGCACGCGGGGGCGCCGTTACAGATACGAGCCAGTGCGGGTGAGTGTCCACCACAGCATTTATACTCATCACCTTGATAAGGAGCGCGTAAGTCCCCGTGGCCCCCGGTTTGAGAGAGCGCCTTGCCGGCGATGAAGAGGCGCGGTCCAGATAGCAATCCCTCTGCGATAGCATCGCGTAATGCCGCATCAGCGCCGCCTGTATCACGCGCAGTTGTGAAGCCTCGGAGGAGCATGTTCCGGGCGACATACGCAGTGCGGTATGCAATTGTATTAGGGCTAGCGGCGAACATGTCCTTGAGCGAGGTACCTCCCGGGGTGGCCGTGAGGTGAACATGACAGTCAATCAAGCCAGGGCACAGATATTGGTTTCGCATGTTGATGAACTTAGTCTTTGTCCTCGGTCCGGTTGAAAACGGCGCTTCTGAGTTTCTGGATAGCGATGATGCTGGCATAATACGTGCAATAACTCCATTTTGCACGTGGACACTACAATTGGGGACAACGCGGCCAGCCTCTACATCGATTATGTTGATGTTGATGAGGGTAATGTCCGGCGCTTGATCGCGTGGTACCCATGGTTTAGGTATGAGATTGGAGCGAGCCATGACGATAGGTTCTATTAGAAGAAATTAATTCTTCCGAGTGGGTAACTAGTATGAGAGTGTCTGTCCATGAGGGTGTAAGAAAAGGTATCCCCGCAACAGAGAGAGGGGTAGGGCTTCGGTTCATGTGACTAGACATTGATAAGGACTTGAAAATGTGATATACAACTATAACTTTTCCTCATTAACTAGGTGCGGGAATCGTGATATTTCATCTATCATTGCCAGTAGCAGACTATACATAGCTAACAGAGCACTAGGATTCATTTAGACATTCAGCAATGGAATGTGCCACATATTCAACATTTGACGGGTTAAGTCCAGCAATGGAAACCCGAGAGTTGCTCGCCATATAGATGTGATACTTGTCTGCGAAGATGAGGTTAGAATTGCCACATGAAGACGGACGTCAAAGTATACTCACCCTTGAGCTTCTGGACGACCGCAGGAGAAAGTCCTAAGAATCCAAACATTCCAGATTGGCGAATCAGATGTTCCCATGTGCCAGGGGCTCCTATACCTGGATCAATAGGAGAATATTCACTCTTCTAGGGAGAGAAACGTACCATTTTTAATCAGTCCGTCATACAACGCTTGTCTCATGGAACGTATGCGTCCGCTCATCGTGATCAAATCCGCATACCACATCTCTTTTAATACATCGTCGCTCAAGATGGTACTTGCTATCTTCGCTCCATAGGCTGGGGGGTTTGATACTTCGGAGCGTTGGAGCATCTCAAGAACTGACTGCGTGTTGGTCGCAGCCTTTTCTGTTCCAGCTGCGAAGAAAAGGCAGCCCACACGCTCACCTACAATTTTGGTGTTAGCAAAGCACGGGGTCATGGTTCGATCTTCTCTGGGGAGGTGCCGTTTTTGCCTACCATAGAGTCCCATGTTCTTCGCGAAGGAAAGACAGCCACCAGCTTCCATTTGTAGTTCGTCGATGAAATAGCGCATAGCAAACGCATCATTGTCGACATTTCCTGAGTTGAAGCCTAGATATGCTGCATCAAATAGCGGGAATAATTTCCTTTCTTTCATTATCGAGCCAATCTGTTTCCATTGCTCTTTGCTAGGGTCGCAGCCGGTAGGGTTGTGAGCACAGGCATGAATAATAACAACGGAGTGTGGCTCCGCGTTTCTCAGCGCAGAATAATACGCTTCTATATCAATATCTCTCTTCTCTGCATCATAATATTGGAATGTTTCACACTGGAATCCCAGTGACGAGAAGACTTGACCATGGTTGGACCAGGTTGGAGAAGGAATGTACACTTTTGGCAGCGGACGGCGAACGCTTCTGAGAAGCAATCCTGCCAGATGGAGAGCACCAGTTCCTGACAGACTTTGGCAAATGGCAAGCTGGTTGTTTATCAGCATTTGGCATTCTATTGAGCAAATAAAATCCGTAAGGAACTATTAGGGCACACCTGAGACTGTTTCTTGTCATATATTTCCGATCCTAAGGCCAGTTTTGTGGCTTGATTACGGAAGGTTTGGAGACCAAGAATTGGCAGGTATTCGTGGTATAACCCTTGGGAAAGAAGTGTCTCGCGAGCCTTTTGAACAGAAGGCAAGACCCATGGCTGTCCATTCTCGTCGCGGTAGGTTCCCTGGCCAAGGTTGACCTTCTGGGGAAAGGTATCAGCATTGTACTCTGCTGTAAGAGCGAAGATCGCATCTGGTGGGATATATGATGCGGCCTCGAAAAACGAGGCAGAACCCTCTGGTTCTATTGGGGCGGCCTGAGTCGCCGTGCTTAAGTGTTTTCTAATTTTAAGTAACATCTTCGGAAACAAACAAAGTACAAGATAACAGGAGCTGGGGTATATCTCCTGCGATTCAAGCGCTTTCAACGGCTTTTAAGTGACTTCTCTCGGCGGCGAGACCCGAGCTGTCGGCTCCGCATCCGACTTTGTTAGATCCATTATACGTCGGATGGAAATCCGATTTACGCATTTTAATCGATGGATTTCGAGTTTATGCTTCTGTTATCTATTTATCGGGTCGAACCCCGGGTCCTATCGCTCTGAATGCGGGGGTGAGTTGATTTATCAGTTGGACCTTCCACTAGCTTGTACTTGTTCTATCAAACGTCTCCAACAGTACCTTGTATAATTTAGATACGAGAACTATACATCGCTTGAGTACAATGCCTTAGTTACAACTTATCTTCGAAAGGTACTCGGGACATCTGTGGGAAGGGCAATAATGGGTACTTTGCTCAGCCTTGGTCTTTACTTCTGGAAAACACACACAATATAAATCCGGCCTCGGCCCATTGTACTCAAGTCGACAGTGACTTGCTTGCAAGCTTTAGACTCAACGGCTCAGCGCATTAACGGGCCTGACCCTCATCCTAATCCACTTGTCAGCTCCAGTCATTCACAGATTATCAGATAGAGCCTCATACACAAGCATCAGACTGTCCCTCCGGGGCCTTTTGGCAAACCGTACAAGGTCCAGAGTATTCGATGATGCCGTCCATCTCGCAGTAAAAGAGAGCCTTCTCGATGTTGGCGTCTCCATCTGCAATCGCAAGCAGTTCGTTCTGTGTCCATCCTAGAAGGGATAGTTAGCTTTGCGGACACAGCATCAGGAGATTGGCAACCAAACCCAACGAGAGCAAGGTGGATCCGCAATAGTTCAGACTCTCCCTGCATCTGCCAGCTGCTAGGGCAGTCGGGAGAGCAGTGAATAGTGCAAGCAAGGGAAGGGTCGCTCTCATTATGAAAGATGAATTCGTAAGCGAGAGAGTTAGGGTCCTACGGATAGTAATGCTGTAGTGACTGGATTGTCTATGGACTGCTCAGCGGTATGTGTTGAGTCTTTATACTTCCTGGGTATGGGAATGTGATAAGGGACCAACCAGCGTCACAGACATATTCACACAAATGATTTCTGCATTGTCGATTCTGAGACGTTGCTCCTCCATCAAACTTGGACGATGTCTATGCAGTTATACGTATGATATCATCCGTGCAATGTTGCTCAAGCTATGTAGACCCCCCGCGTATACCGTTGTACATACAGATCATCTTGAGTTGTCGGAGCCGGAGAAGCTGTGCAATATGAAAGTGTGTATGACATGTAAACTGTATCACTGTAGGTAGCTGTCCTAACGGCGATGAGCACATAGCCACGCTCGGCATAGTCTTACATATTTACGCATTTAAACCCGGTCAACATGGTATGTCCATGTCTTGGGGTGTACGGTTCCTGAATCCACAGCCACGTCGTACATATCAATCAAGGCGTACAGAAGAAAAGACTGTATCCAATGCGTAGATTGTTTCCTACAGCTACACTCCTTGAGTAACACAAGCATAGATCTAAGATTGAATAAAACATTCCACGCGTTTGATTGCAGTGTAACTAGATGATTGTGCAGGTGAAGGCAGTCCATAGAAAGCGGAACAAACCGTGGCAACAAAGCCCCTGTCGTTCCGCTCTTCGTCCACTACTAGTAGCATTCCAGAGAACAAATGAGTTCCATACTATCTTAGTCCCTAATCGAGTTGTTGAATGAATACTCAATGAGGATTGAGGATACGCGGGGCAGTTGCTGCCCTGCTCCGCAACGGGTAAACCTTCAGCCAGAACATAACCGATGAAATATGCTTGGCTTCATTCAACGTCATGAAAGATTAAGCATACAAACATTATTTATAGTAGATGCAGGGTCCCTGATCTGGCAAGTCCTACTAAGTCTCTAAAACCACGCATATGATACAAAAATGTCCTCTCAGAAACCTACCTACCGCATCGCCTCCATTCCGGGTGACGGGATAGGCATAGAAGTCGTCGATGCTGCCATCCAGGTGGTCGAAAAGCTCGCCAGGACCCTTGGAACATTCAATATCGAATTCACACACATTCCATGGGGAACTGCATACTACAAGGAACACGGTCGATATGTGTCCGAAGATTGTTTAGACACGCTGCGCAAGTTCGACGCCGGCTTGTTTGGTGCCGTAGGTGCCCCAGGTCAGTACTAAATTTCCCGGCAAAGACGTTGCGCTCGGATCCGTATACTGATACGCGAGACAGATGTTCCGGACCACATCTCCCTCTGGGGTCTCTTATTAGCACTCCGCGGACCGCTGCAGTTATATGCTAATGTCCGTCCCGTGCGCACATTCCCTGGCACTAAATGCCCTCTCAACACCGCAACAGAGGGTATTGACTGGATGCTTGTGCGCGAAAACTCCGAAGGAGAGTATTCCGGTCAGGGAGGACGCAGTCACATCGGTCAGCCGTGGGAAGCTGCGACGGAGGTAGCTATGTTTACTCGTGTCGGGATCGAGAGGATTATGCGCTTTGCCTTTGAAGTCGCTCAGTCTAGACCCCGCAAACTACTGACCGTCGTTACGAAGAGTAACTCCATGCGGAACGGCATGGTGCTCTGGGATCAGGTCGCAGCGGAAGTCGCTAAGGATTTCCCCGATGTTACGTGGGACAAAATGCTAGTGGATGCAATGACAGTCCGCATGGTGGCGAAGCCCCAATCTATCGACACCATCGTGGGAACGAATCTACACATGGATATCTTGTCCGACTTGGCGGCAGCGTTGGCAGGATCTATCGGTGTGGCTCCTTCCAGTAACCTGGATCCGACCCGGAAGAATCCCTCTATCTTCGAACCAGTACACGGCAGTGCCTTCGATATCACTGGAAAGGGTGTTGCCAACCCTGTGGCTACTTTCTGGTCCGCTGCGGAGATGCTGTCCTGGTTGGGTGAAAAGGAGGCGGCGAAGAAGCTCATGGATTGTGTGGAAAAGGTATGCGCTGCTGGTATCTTAACGCCGGATCTTGGAGGCAACTCGAACACACAAGGAGTGGTGGATGCTGTGAATAAGGAAATTGAGCAGTTGGTATAATTTTGGGTCCCCAGCAAGTTGCCTCCGTTCAATTTTGAGGAATACCTCATAGAAGTTTTCCCAAATACATTCAACCTTTTTTGCAACTTCCTGTTACTCTAAACTGTGAAACACCTTCAAGGTTGCATACTCCTGTAGAATAGTAGCGCCGGAGTGGCTCATACATCGATACTAGGTCTAGTATACACTAACTTGCAGGAGGCTGCTTCTAAATGAAGTACAATACATACACTCAGAAGATCTCACACAGATGCCAAATCAAGTGTTTTAAGAGTCAAGGTATGAAGTACAACAAGCGAAAAGAGAATCGAGATATAGTTAGTTATTTATACCAGACTGCATTGGTCAAGCTGACTAAGCTGGGATGTTATTCATAAAAGCAGGAACTAAACCAGGGTTCGAGTCATGGAATCTGACCCTCACCCCTGAATGAATGGGGGTTAATGTCCATGCAAAGATCATAATAAACACATCCTTTCTCAGAATATTGTTGTAGCTCTGGTACATATCATTCCGCGTCTGGCAAACACCATGTTTTGGCCAGAATGGAGTCCACGGATCTCACGTCTGGCCCGTCAGAAATCGGTTCCTTGACGGCACAATCCAACGAAGAGAGCCAATTTGTCGGGAGTTCCAGCGGTGTTTACTTTATTAATACGGTCCGACAGGCCTTTTCAAGAAACTTGGCCACGTTAGGTGCATCTTCCGGGCAAGAATTTCCGCAGCCAGAGGATACCCTCGTTGGCAGTGATGGCTCGCACCATGACAAGCGCTCTGCCCCATCCTCCGTCAAAGCATCACCGATGCCGGGAGGTGAGCAACCTTTTTGCCAATGGGAATATGACCCAGAAATGGCGGCTATACTGGGTCATGCGCCGCCGCTGGACACCGCAAGAGAACTCATGATGGTATATTTCAAAGTCTGGCATCCATTGTTTCCCTTTCTGCACGGGCCAACCTTTCTGCAAGCAATGGAACTGCTCTATTCCGATCACCGCAAAAGCCATTCGATTCTACCTTCACCAGATCACCGTAATACTTGCTGGACGGTGATCTTTCAGTGCGTGTTCAATTTAGCTAGCCATTTGAGGCCTGATCTGCCTCTTCCATCAGAGTCTCGAATTGAATCACCGAGCCATATGCAGTCCTTGCTCAGTTCCCTTACTTTCAGAAATGATCTCTCGTCTTTGCAAGCACTACTAGCATCCCAACTATACTTGGTAACCAAAATGTCGCTTCGAACGGCATCAACAGTGGGCGGTTGCATGCTACGATCGATGATGCATGCAGGTCTCCACCGCTGTCCATTCCGATATAGGGAGCTTTCATCGCATGATCGGCAGTTACGCAAGAGAATTTTCTGGTGTGCATACGCTATTGATCGGTATCTGAGCCAGGCTCTTGGTCTTCCGCTTGGCATACAAGATTCCGATATCGACGTCTGTGCCCCAGGGGCCGACGAAATCCATTTCCCCGGATCACATAGAGTACGCGGTCTCAAAATGGGCCTGTCGAGTGTCGACCTCGATGATAGAGCATCTTTTGCACCGGAGAGCAGTGCTGATGCAATACAACTACCAGCGGAGCAATCTGCTAGCCATGAATCCCATGGCAATACGCCGAGTGGCTCCGAGTCACTCCAAAACAAAAGAGAAATCGCCTTCGCAAGCTACGTTGAATCCGGCACACTCACAGGGAGAGCACTAGAACTCTTCCACAAATCCATTCTCGTCCGCTCCATCCGCCGCAGCTCAGTCCTCTTCCTGATCACCGACGTCCACAAATGGTGGAACAGTCTCTCAATTGATCTTCAAAGCCTAAGTCCCCCAACTGACCAAGACGCCATGACCGATAAACCCTTCAACTTCGGACCCTTCTTCACCGTCCTCTACCAACACCTCATTCTCCTCATCCACCGTCCATCCCTATCCCTAAGCCCCTCAACCCCCGAGTTCTGCTCCGGCCTCCAAACCTGCATCGGAGCCGCACGGGAAATCCTCACCGCACTCAAAGCCCAAGTAGATGCAGGCCAGGCATTGTTCTGGCCCGGCTTCCTATCCGCCGCGTGGATGTCAGGTCTTGTTCTCGCCTTCGCCTGTCAACTTCGACAATACGTCTTATCAAAAGGACTACAGTAACCTCTCCCCCATTCCAACTCCATCTCAACCTAAGACTAACCAAATCGAAACAGAGAAATCTCCAAATGTCTCGACTTCCTCCAGCTCATGTCCTCACAATGGGAAACCGCCAAAAACTGCCACCGAGCATTAGCTCTCCTAACCCGAAACATCCAACACTCCAGCACAGTTTCAATCCTACACAGACCCTCCGAGCCCCTCCCACCAAGAACCAGATCAGAAGACAACGATAATGACTGGGACGCCCGCAAGAAACGCCGCCTAAACTCCCATCCCGTAATGAGGCCTTCTCGACTAGGGTCTTCAAGTTTCGAGACTGCCCATGATGGAACGGTACATCCTAGCGATAATGACGATGATACTAATGATCCGGGTTTGGATGTTCAGAATATGTCGTGCTCTACCAATGTTCAAGTGTCAAATAATCCGTCGGAACTGGTGCAGGGTGGGAATAGACCGTTGTTGTTGTCTCCTGATACGGTACAGAGTTTGGAGGACCGGCTTTTCTTTCCGGAGGATGGTTCGCATAGTATGATGGATTTCGATTTGAATATGGTGGATTTGTTGCAGGGGGCGAATTTTGATAACCTGTTTGACATGTTCGGACAGCAGTATCCGAGCTTTTGAACGGGTTGAGGATTATGTATATAGATATATAAATATAATGTATAGGCTACCGGGTTGTTATGATGGGTTTCTATATGGCTAATGATAGGAATCAATGATTGATCTAATCTATTTTTGCTACGCTGTCTCTTGTGACCACCCCTTCCTACGTCAACAGGGGAGAAGAAAAGTAGAGATATACACAGCTACAGCAGAAAGGAAGCATATCCCGTGAGGAAGTCATAAGTCTATATTACACTCGTGTCAGATAGCAAGACGAGGTATGTAAGGTTAGGGAACAGGAAGAGCAAAAGACATCACAACTTCCTCCCTCGTGACATGAAAATTTGGAAAGTCATAGCATCCGAACGACTTTTCTCCGATCCCAGTATGTATTGTGTTCTCCTTTGCTTTCCCCCTCTTCCAGTGTGCGTTTGTACAGCATCACCATAACACAACTACTGACACAAGGGAGTGGACATAAAGCATCGGGATCCGATAAACTGTGTCGCTCACTGGATACGGGCAGGTGACACCGCTAAACAAAGAACTTTTGGAAACCGAGGGATATCAGGACCAGGGGCAATAGGAAATAATGGAAAAATGGTAAGAGGAAATAAGAGAAGAGTATCGTTAATTCGAGAAAGGGGATAAGGGTAGGTCATCAAAAAAAGGAAAAAAAAAATAAGGTGAATCAAAACTTCCGTGTCGGGAGACCCAGTTCATAACTCCGTCCGAATCCACCGTGGATATCACGCATTGACACACAAAATTTATGACTTGTTCTCTTCGGTAGAGGTCTCCTTGGCAGCCTCCTTGGGCTTGCCGGCCTCTCCGGTCGCCTCGCTCTCGCCTCCCTTGTTCTTCATGTACTCATCATAGACGTTCAGGGCCTCGTCAACCTTGGCGCGCAGGGCCTCCTCATCCTCAAGCCTAGATTAATCAATGTCAGTAATTTGCTCCGTATCGTAAGATGTTCATGGTTCAATGTGGCACTTACAAGCTAAGCAATTCAGTGTTCTCCATCTCTAGAAGCATACCAGTGATCTTGCCTGCCAACTCAGGCTGCTGAGCTTGGATCTTGGGGTAGAGGGCCTCACCCAGCATTTGCTTCTGCTGAGGAGGGGGGACGGCAGAGAGACCCTGAGCGGTGAGACCACCGGCAACGGCCTCCTCGGGACGTCCGGCAGGGGGCTGAGCGGCGTTCTGTCCACGGCCACCCTGACCAGGGCGAATCTGGCCTTGCTGAGCGGGCACACCACCGCGGCCTTGTCCGTAGCCAGGGCCACGCATACCCTGACCCATGTTGGGCATTCCGGGAACCTGACCACGGCCACCAGCACCACGTCCGAACTGCACCTGAGCCATGCCCTGAGGGTAGCCCATGCCGTTAGGAATGCCACCGGGGCCCTGCATGGCGCCCATGGGGATGCCCTGGAAGTTAGGAGGAAGCTGCTGGTTGGGGCCCATGCCACGTCCACCCTGCTGACCGGGAAAAGGGCCAGGGTACTGACCGGGGCGTCCACCTGGGATACCGGCCATCACCATACCGGGCTGAGGAGGGAAGGCAATGCCACCACGCTGGCCGGGGATGAAGCCCTGCTGACCAGGTCCGTAGAAAACAGCGGGTTGCATGTACTAGAGCTGGCGTTAGTATGGATTGCAACATTGTTACTACAAGGCAAGGGAAAACTTACGGGCTGGGGCATGCCAGCGGCAGCGGCAGCCTGCTGCTGTCTGATAGTGTTGCGAGCCTGGATGCTGGCCTCCAGCTGGCTTCTGCGGACGTCCTTGCGCTGAGCAAGGGCGACATAAAGAGGCTTGCCGTTGACCATTCTCTGGTTCATCTCAGTGACAGCCTTAGAGGCTTCATCGGGGCTGCTGAAGCAGACGAAACCAAAGCCCTTGCTCTTTCCGAGACCCTTCTTGTCGCCCTTCTTGGACTCCTTCTCCTCCTTCTTCTCATCGCCAGACTCAGCGGCCTTTTCCTCGACCTTCTCAGCCTTCTCAGTCTCTGAGGATTCCTTCTCGTTCTCCTTGTTGACTTCCTTGTTCTCCTTCTCCTTGTCGGACTCGGGGGTCTCACTACGCTCAATGTTGGTGTCGCGCATGACCTTGGCAGAGGTGATGGTGCCATAAGGTCCGAAGAGCTCGCGCAACTTCTCATCATCGACGTCGTCGGTGAGGTTCTTCACGTAAAGGTTCACACCCTGATACTTGGAGGCCTTCTCCAAGCGGGCAGCCTCATACTGCTTACGCAGCTCCTCCTCACGCTCGTGCTTCTTCTGAGCACGGCCGACATAGAGCTTCTGGGTACGGATCTCCTTCTCATTCATCTCATCAACGGCGGCCTGCGCGCTCTCGTGGGTAGAGAAGTTGACGAAACCGAAACCACGGCTCTTGCCCTCTTGGTCACGGCTGAGAGTGGCGGAGGTGATCTCACCGAACTTCTCGAAGAGCTGACGGAACTCCTCCTCGGTGACGTCCGGGTCAATGTTCTTGATGTAGACGTTGGTGAAGTTAGCCTTCATCTCCTCGAACTTGCTCTGACGGTCCTTCTTGGAGATGTGGTGGCCAACGAAGACCTTCTTGTCGTTCAACAACATGCCGTTGACGTGCTTGATGGCATTGTTAGCAGCCTCAGCAGTCTCGTAGTGGACGAACCCGTATCCCTTGGAGTTGCCGAACTCATCCTGGGCGACCTTGCAACTGAGGATGTTACCGAAGGCAGCAAAGGTGTCGTGAAGAGCCTTGTTGTCGATGGCGCTATCCAGGTTCTTGATGAAAACGTTGCCCTGGCCAGTCTTGCGCAGAGCGGGATCACGCTGAGACCACATGATACGGCAGGGCTTGCCCTTGATCAGGGTGTAGTTCAGATCTTCAAGAGCACGCTCACCGTCGGCAGTGTTGTTGTAGTTGACATAGGCATATCCCAGAGAGCGTCTGGTAACAGCGTCACGGCAGACACGGATGGAGGCGACCTGGCCGATGGAAGAGAAAAGCTCATAGAGCATGGCCTCAGTCACAGAGGGGTCGAGTTCACCGACATAGAGAGAGGCAGAGTGGGGCTGGGAAGCGTTGGGAGCAGTGGTGCTCTCAACAGCAGTGACCTCGGGAGCAGGAGCAGCAGGAGTAGTGCTGGTCTCGGGGGTGCTGGTGACATTGCTGTCAACAGCGGGGGTGGTAGAGGCGTCGGCAGACATTTTGATGATTTTCTTTTAAGTTTTATTTCTTTTGAGCTACAGATGCAAGGATAAGATTAGCATGAGATAACCCTTATCGAAAGTGGGACAAATAATGAGTAGGAGAGGTAGGTGAACGTGTGTGCCCCTCCTCCAGTTCAGTGATTTGGTCTGCAATTACAATGACCAGTCAAACGCTGAGCGTAGATCCAGAGGTATGAGTGAGAGGAAGCAAAAGCCACAGATTGAGTACGTGGTAAAGAAATGAGATGAGATGCTCTTGTCTTGTGTGAGGTCACACTATCGGCAAGACCAGCTGGGCACGGCAAGGAAATCAGAGGGAAAGACTGGAGTCAGCGCGATAGACGTACGACCTAAGTCAAGAATCCGCACAGGATCTGGAACAGAAGGTAGGAGATGAAGAGGAATGGCGATGCGAAGGACGCGATCACGAGGGATGAAGAAAAGGCGGCAAAAGGAAATTCTTCCACACACCGCACAGTCCGAAGAAGTTGGGAAAATAGTCGCCTCAAAGTATAGAAACCGGGGCGATGTCTTTTTCTAGATTTTTCGGGTTTTTTTTAATATTTTTTCTTCGACAATTTTCGAAAGAAAAAGGGAAGAATGTAGAAGAGGGATAAGAAGAAAAAAAGGATTGCTGGTTGAGGCAGCAGAAAGGGTTTTTTTTTTGGAGGAAGAGAAGAAAAGAAAGAAAGAGAAAAAGCGGATGCAGTGAAAAGAAAGCGATGACCGCCTTCTTTCTTTTTCTTTTTCTTTTTTTTTTTTTTTTTCCTGGAAAAAAAAAGTCAAGAGGATTTTTCTTTTTTTCTCTTTGGCCCAATACGGGACTAATCCAATATAGGCTTAGCGCGTATTGCCGCTTCAAAAATCCAGGGCTATTCTGATTGTCAGTATTGGGGATTGTGTATTGTGCAGTGGCTCTCTAACCGGCAAATCACGAGACTGCAATCAAAGGTGCGTAGGGCTTATCGCGATTGACATTCTTGCCCCCCCTCTCTTCATTGGACCATAATCCTTAATGGTATGGAAACACAACATCGCTCAACCATCACATTTTCAACAGTGCATACAAAATTTCAATGAAAGAAAAAAAAATATTATTGCCCATAGTTCAACTTATCTACCTAATCCGTAAATTACTAAATGACCTTGGACCTCAATACTAGTCCAGTGACTCCGACAACTGTAGGTAAATATGCGATGGGGAAGAGGAAGAGGTCCCATATACAAAGAGAAGCAAATAAACAGAGAATAACAAACATCAAGTTAATTGCGCCGGGACGCCACAGCTATGCAACCCAGTAACTATTCATTTCGTGCGCAATAGATAATCTGTACGTCTATGTATGTGCGATCATACCCACCATTCCGGTTCTCTATGGCAATAACACAATTTGGCTCAACTAAGATCAAACCCGGCGCCAGAGTTGATGGCGTAAAGAAGCTTTTCTCGTAGGGTGTCAGCGTTGGTATAACGAGGCAGCTTCAGAAGGTTCACGCAGGTACTTGTACTAGGAAGTCGCTCCTGGTCCTCACTGGAATCACGAATGCTGAATCGTGGGTTCAGATGACCGAATCCCAGTAGAGGAGCACGCGGAGTGGACGTCACAAACCGTAGCACCTTCTGTCGCTCCTCGTTGGTCATCTTATGCATGACCTCCCAAAATAGTTGGATCGTCGGATGCTCTTCCCTATCGTCGCCAATGGTATACACCCCTCCATATTGAGTGTTGCGCCTCAGATCCGATACGTCAATATCCCCTGACTCGCCACTAACCAAGGTCTGCAGTTCCGACTGGTTAAACATCGACAGCCACGAAGGCTGTATAATTTGCCCCAAGCCCTGGAGAAAGGCGTTCGTTTGCAGAGAGGGCTGTGACTGTAGACGGTACCGAGCAATATAGGAGATATACACG